GGCGTATTCATAGATAGACCTTGACCCAGATTTTCCATTGCTAAGCAAGAGGGTTGTTAAATGAATCATGCCTGTTTTTACGCACTGTTTTGCTACTATTGTTAAGTAATCACTGCAGTTGTTAAGTGGCTTCCCCCATTGCCTTTGCTTGTCAGAAGCTGGCTGGGAAGGTGTCAAATGGCAGTCCCACAACCCTAGGACATTACAGCCATTGTAAATACATGGCAGTTGCCAAGCTCCTGCATTTTGATCATGTGACCATGGGGAAATGCTGTGATGGTTGTAGGTCACTTTTTTTTCAGTGCTGTTGTAACTTCACATGGTTGCTAAACAAATAGTTTTAGGTCAAGGACTACCTGTAATCAATCAATAATACCAATAACTAATATACAAAACACCTGTTATATAGGAGCAATTTAGAATGAATTGGATGGTTAGTTGAATTTGTACTGGCCCTTTTTTTTTTAATCAGGGTCAGTGGACAATAATGGAGTGTCTACTGCTGGGTTTTCTTCTGTGCTATAATGTGAAAAATTGCTTAGAACATCTGCATTAAAAATGTTTTCTTTACCAGATACATTAATGTATTGTTTGTGGATTTGGATACCTCAGTAAACTTACAAATCCAGTCCTTCCTTAAATATTTCTGTTGTTTATTTTCTTCCCATTTTGAAAGTAAGTGTTGCTTCTTTGCAGCATTCTATGGCCAGCCTTGGCTCAGGACTTCTGTGTTAGATTCCTGCTATTGGCAATAGGTTTGTAAAAAAAAAATTGTAATGCCAGATACATTTTTTTAAAAAGTATGTTTTGCAAGCATTCCTATTAAATATTACTTTGTGAGCAATTTTTTCCTTTCTCGGCTCTAAAGTCTAAATCCTAATGTTCTGTCCATTCTCCTTGTTGAGCTGCTGAGAATCACCTACCAAATCTCACCTTTTTTTGGTGGAACACAGCTGTACTTCCCCAACAGAAAGAGACAAAAAACATAGATCCTAGATGGAAAGCATTTCTGGAAATTCCTCACATCAAAGTAGTTTCTTACTTCTTCTTTTCCCTATTCTATATTAATTCTCTGGATGTGAAATCTATTTCAGCAAATGACGTACTTTCATAACAATCCTGAGACAGAACCAGCAGGAATAAGTAACCTGTATGCACGATGTCTATGGAGATTCTTTGTCATCCAGGTCATGGTTGTCCCAAAGGTGCTTTTTCAAGAGGCAACTGGATTTTCTTTGTTTTTGCTTGAAGATGTTTTGCTTCTCATCCAAGAAGCTTCTTCAGTTCTCAGTTCTTTAGTTCAGTTCAGTTCAGTTCTTCAGCTCCTCAGCACTTAATAATCAAAAGCAGATAAAAGTTCCACCTGGCCATTGTCAGTTTCCATTGGTTTCTCTCCCTTTTGCAAAGTCCACATGAGAGAACCAGTGGTGATACATTGCTGCATCCAAATACACTACCCAGCGAGAGGAAGAAGAGCAACAGAAGACTAACTAGTAGCCTGTAGAGCACAAAGTAGATAGAAGCTGGATGACCTAAGAAAGGAAAGGAAGCTCAGAATGGAGATGGTCTAGCACAGCGGTTCTCAACCTATGGGTCGTGACCCCATTTGGGGTCGATCGACCATTTCACGGGGGTCGCCAAGCAAGGCTGTCCGCCATTTTTTTCCCTTTTCCGGCGGGTGCCTTACCTCCCTTGGGCTGGGCCAGCTGGTGGTCGGCCTGCTTCATCTCTGCCGCTTGCCAGCTACGCCTCGGCTGGCGCAGGGGGCAGAACCACGCATGCGTGGTGCTCCCGGGCAGGGAAAGTCCTCGACTTACGACCGGTTGGGTAGTCCTCGACTTACGACCGGTTTAGTCCTCGACTTACGACTGGTTGGGTAGTCCTCGACTTACGACCGGTTTAGTCCTCGACTTACGACCGGTTGGGGGTTGCGGCATTAAAAAGGTTGAGAACCACTGGTCTAGCAAAAGGCTAGAGATGTGTGGGAGAAAGTCTGCAAGGCAGGGCCAGCCAAGAACAACAACAACAACAACAACAACAACAACTTTATTGTCACTTTGAATGTACACCAATCGGCGTACATCAAAATGAAATTTCATTGCATACAGCTCTCAAAGGTGAGAAACCATGCTAAGATAAAAGAAGGGGCTGGGGCCGGCAAAATGTCTTGCTAAGTGTGTGGGAATCAAGATTATTGGCCTGCCTCTGCCTCAGTAAAACTCACAAAGGCTTGGCATTGGCAATCCTTATCAGTTATGAGGACAGTATGCCTAAAGTGAATCCCATGCTTTTGCTCAAAAGACTAGTGTAACATGTCACATTGTGGCTGGTTATGTACTGTTGTTAGGGGTTTGATAGAAACACAACAAAAATCATTTGATAGGAAAAATCGAGAGATGGGAGAGCAAGTATTCTTCCTCCTCCAGAGTCAAATTTCAAAGGTCACATTAAGATGAGATATGCCAATTCTAATATAGATTTGGGCACAGGAAGAATAAAAACCTACTTTGTGAATATGTAAGCAAATGGGCCAAGGGAAACAGACTGGCACAAAGGAAGATAAACCTGGTGGAGCATGTATATCCCTGCTTCAGTTTAGAACATCTCTATCCAGATTTTCCTACCCAGATATCCTATTTGGATAACTTAAAGGATACCTTAAAGAAGGTTCAGTCTAAGCATGACTGGACCACCCCAGAGTAAATTATGTTTGCCCATTGTACTTGTGACCAAGACTAGTAGGGAGGCAACATTTTGTGTGGTTCTGAAGTTGAATCAGTTTATGCAGTGCCAAGAACTGATGACTCACTCACTGGATAACTAGGAGAGATGGGTACATGTCAACCCTGAGTCTAATGTAGGGCTATTGGCAGATCCCTTTGGAAATAACTTCAAGGAAAAAGAATGCCTTCAGTGTCCCACAGGGACTATTCTATTTTATATGGATGCTATTTGGATTTCATGGGGCTTTGCAATCTTCTGGAGTTTGATAAATTATATTCTCTCAGGCCAAGAAAATTTTTGTAAAGCCTACCTCAACCACTTTAATGACAGCAATTTGACCTAGAAGAAACATCTCTCCCACCTCAGAACTGCCATAACCAATTCTAGATAACCAGTGGCAAGTCTTTGACAACTGCTTACAACCAAAAAAGCAAGATTCTCACAGTGTCTTCCTTAACCAGATTAACTGAAAGTGAAAAGAGAACTAGGCTACAGAAATCTTGGTAAATTGATATGCTTTGAGAAGCCAATTGTATCTGGTTTGACCATTAATTTGGAAAAGTGCTGTCTTGTTCTCAATGAACCAAAATTTCTTGGCTATATAGGGAATGTGTGAGAAATTGGATTCTGTATTCTCACATAATCTGTTAGAAATCAGAGTCCCAATGGAAACAGATTATCTGGGACCCTGCTATTCAGGATTCAGATCTGTTTATGGGATGACAACAGCATTGGTTGCTCATTGGGACACGGATGGAGGAAGGTACACTGCCTCAAACATCTCAGCAGCTTTCAGTACCATTAACCACGCATCTTGTTAATTCAGCTTCTAGGGCTGGGATTTGCACTCTTTTGCAATATTTCCTCTCCTACCAAAGTGGTTTTAGCTTATAGTTATAGAGGAACAGTACAGGAGGCCTTGGCTATTCCAGTGAGAGGTACTTTAGGGCTCAGTGGTTTCCCCCATGCTATTTAACATCCATAAAAAGCTGGAGGTCATCTGTTGTTTTGGGATGAGGTGCAGTCAGTTATACATTATCAATCTGGGGCAAGCCAAAGATACTGTGAAAAACTTGCACTGGTATCTTAATAGCGCAAGATTGAACTGCTATATGCTGGTCCTGATAGTTATTCTGGACAGGGTCATGCTTCCCTTGAAGAAGCTCCTGCACTACTCTTCCTGGGATTAAGCAACAGGGAGAGTGTGTGGTCAACATGGTCTTTGCTCATCTTTGGCCGGAACAAAAGTTATGATGTCACCTGTATTGGAATCCTCTGGCATTTGTAAATCATGCTTTACTCATGATTTGACTGGGTTACTGTAATGTCCACAACAGGGAACAGCCTTTGGAAAAATTACAACTGGTGAGATGGATCCCACAATGGCTCAGTTCCACCACTGCAGGCTAACACCTCTCTTGAACTCATGCACAAGTTACCAATAGGCTTCTAGACTCAATTCAAATAATGATCTATATTAGTGTTTCTCAACCTTGGCAACTTTAAGAGGATTGGACGTCATCTCCCAGAATTCTCCAGCCAGCATTGCTTTAAGGTGCATGGATTCAACTCCCAGAATCTCCAACCAGCAGGCTTTAAGATGTCTGGACTTCACCTCCCAGAATTCCTTAGCCAGCATGCTGGAATTCTGGGAGTTGAAGTCCACACATCTTAAAGTAGCCAAGGTTGAGAAACACTGCTCTACATAATCTTATATGGCAGAGGATCTGGTTACATTGAACCCTGCCTTGCCAAAATTGAATTTGTCTGTCAAGGGAAGCATCTCAAAAAGATCTGTTAAGAGTCTCCGCCCCCTTAATGTGAAATCATAGTTCTTTTAGAAAACATTTGTTTTGTACATTTCATCTTTGTAATAAGCATGTTGTCAAACTAGCATTGTCCTGTGTCCCATCTGAGTCTGTACCATTCCTGAATCCATGGCAGTCCCACAGGGGAATCAGGGCTTGCAGGCAGAACATCTACTCTGTATGTAGAAAACACAACTTCAGTTTTTGGCAAGTTCTGATGAAAAGGACCAGTAGCAGCTAACGGGAAGGACCTTTTATTGTTGGAGAGTTGGCTACTCAGCTGGATGTACTGCAGGATGAGCAAAACTTTCCATACATCATATAAAAACTGGAATTATGCAGTTGCGTGGTCCTCATCTTGCCAAGAGGTTATGGTCCAAGAAGTTGTCAGGATGCTAGTTGTATTCACAATGAATATTACAAAATAGAAAACTTATCACATCCATTACCATTGTTTTTGCCTTACAGGTCCAGGCAGCAAGAAGAAAGCTTCAGGACCCTGTGGCCATCTAGGATCCTTGACTGCTCTCAGATATGCTGTGGTTGGTCTCTACTTGTTGGTGTTCCTGATCTTTGTGGGATTTTTTATCCTAGCAGGTAAGAATCAGACCTATATTGGAGCATCTGCCTCTACAAAAAGTTCCAAAACTTTTTGCAGAGTAGGAGTCACTTGTCTTCTCACTCCCATCTAGCAAACAGACTGGTATTGGCTAATAAGAGGGCATTTAAGTTGCACTTGGTTTAGCATATAGGAAATCGGAGAAATGGTTGCTGATTCAAATAAATTGTGTAAAAACTGGGTATTTATTGTTAATTTTTTTATGCTGCCCCTCTCCCCTATAAGATGAATCTGGGTGATTTACAAGTATTAAAAATATAATTAAAATATTAAAATATTAAAACTACACCGATTATAATTTTAAAGCGACACTGAAACCAGAACCAAGATATCACAGGAGGGGGTTGAGATCTTATCCTGTCAGCTACCTCCAGAGGTGAGAAACCCCTTTGGAGCTCCAGGCCAGTTTTAATACCCTTCCAGAAGCCAAAAGCATGGGAGCAGTTATCACCGCTGGTCGTAGAGTGTTCCACAGGGATGGAACCACAGTGGAAAAGGCTCTTCTCTTTGCACCCGGCTGCTGGAGTTTCTTAGCAGACCGGATCCGTAGCAGGCCTCTTCCACTGGAATGAGTGGGATGAGCTAGTCCCATTGGGGAGAGATGGCTTCTCAGATACTCTGGACCCATGCCGTGTAGGATTTTAAAGGTAAGAACCAACAGCTTGAATTGGATCTGAAAGCAAACCTGTAAACAATGCAGCTCATGCAGTAGCAGTGTTATATATGCAGTCCTAGGCGCTCCCAGGACTGTGCACACTCCTGCATTCTGCACCACTACAGCTTCTGAATAGTCTTCAAGAGTAGTCCCATGTAGGGCTCATTGCAGTAATCCAGCTGAGAGATGACTGGGGCATGAGTGACCATGCACAGGGCCTCAAGGTCCAGATAAGGGGGCAACTGGGGCACCTGAGGTTGCGCAAAGGCTCTCCTAGCCAAGATTGCCAGCTGCTCTTTGAGCAGGAGTTGTGAGTCCAAGAGGACTCCCATGTTGTGCACTGGATCTGTCTGGGGTAGTGCAACCCCATCCACAGTTAATGATGATAAGCAACCAGATCCTGAGGTCCCATGCATCCACAGCCATTCTGTCTTGCTTGGGTTCAGTTGAATTATTCTGTTATAATGTCTCTGCATTTTTAGATCTTCTTTGGGGATATGATGTTGGGTTGATATGATGAGTTTTTTTAAGGAGAAAAACATGCCCTTCAATCTTTCACAGGAACAATTTCATTATAAAATAATAGTCATGTTCTCATCCCAAGAATCACTGCCTAGTTCTCCACATCTATTCTGTACTCATGTTTAATATTTTCTCTATGTCGCCATGCTTTATTTTAGAAGCCAAGAATATATCTGGTCTTTATATTTATTATATATGTCAAAGGAATCATTGTTTGATACTAATAACTCATAAGCAGTACATAAAACAATATGTGGTTATGCAGGGCATGAGACTTTAAAATCTATATACAGATAAACTTGTCCATTGGGAGGGGACATAGCTCATATGGAACATGCTCATGTGCCTCCTACATAAATGCTCAATAATTGGCTCTTTTGTTTGGTTTCTTCCCTTCCCCCTTAACATAATAATTATATTTGTTTTCATAATTGTATTTTGAAATCCATATTTGCTCAAGTCCAATCAATAAATATATTTCCCTTCCCCATTTGAAAGAATTACAGAAGTAGAAATTAAGAGAAAGACCTTCTCTGCTTGCAGTTCGGAGAGGTCACTGAGGCAAAATGGGCAGCCTAGGATCATGTGACACAGTATAATCCAGGGTTTGCTCAGTCATGGCTAAACCATAAACCATAGTTTCCAAATCACAAGATCAATATTCACGCATTGCTCTGGGTCAAAAAGAAACAAATCACCTTATGACCTGGTCTTAGCTTCTTACGAAAAGAGGAATCTCGACAAGATTCCTTGAAAGAAAGCTACATTCTGACAAATAACAAAATCAAACCATCCTGCAAACTTTTTCAATAGTGGATCTTAAGCTCTTTGACCCAATTATCCCTTTTCCTGATCTCAGATCTCCAATCTCCCCCAAATTCTATTTTTGGTAGTGGCACTGGCAATGATAGATCAAGTGGATCCTCAGAAACAATTACACATTATTCTATTATCTCCAGTTTAAGAACCACTGGCTTAAAAGCTTTCCGTTACAATAACTGGAAAAAATTAGGATCAAATAGGCACTGAATCAAAGACGTAAGGACAGAAAATAAGGTATGTTGTTTCCAAATATTACAGTCTGCTTCTACAGTATCAGGTCCACTTAATCACCATCCTTGTCTCCATACATTGAAACATTTCTGCTCTCTTTTTTTCTTTTCTTGTCACTGCCAAAGAGGATTTGGAGTAGAGGTACAGATAGATAAAGACGTAAAGAAATAGCTCAGTGATTATCATTTAGACTGGCAAGGATGTCTCAGTTCCAATCCTCAGGCAATAAACTGAGTGAGATTTGTGGATGACCACAAACCAGTCCCAGGAGATTTGACACTCCATCTTTGATTTGTGGATTGGGAAGCTGCCACTATAACACATTTATAGAATATCTGGGAAGATGTAAGTCAAATTTATATATTTCTGCTAAGAATATGGGCCCTAGCACCAAAACCTCTGGGAATCTAAATATTGCATGATGACCCATTGGAAGAATCAACTTGCAGTTTCATTTGTTTATTTCCCTTTTCCTGAAATCTTATTCCAAAATGCTGTTAAGGACATAGAGACATCTGTTGTTGCCACTGTGGCATTGGAGCATTAATAGTCAACATTTTGACAAGTACATCATAGTAAAGCCCAAACAGAATTCAGAGCACATATTGTGCGCATTTAATATAAGCTTCCTCTTTCATCTTAGAATAGTTTGCCTCAACCCTACCATATCAAGAACAGTCATCAGCACAGTGTGAAGGGAAAGAGTGTTGCTGGCCAAGCTGTATGCCAAAGCAGACCCTTAGATCAAGAATTGGCATCTATAGGCATGTGCTGAAGCCAATGCACTAGCAAGATTCATGGATGATTGCAGCACAGTAGCTGACACTTGACATTAAATCTGACAATGAAAAGTTTGATATTTTAACACACTATATTGGGTTACTGATTTCCCCAACAGTGTCTGTCCTGCTCTTTCCTTCCTGCCAATATTAGCCACGGATCTTCTGCCACCCCAGAAGCTGCCCAGTTATGTGAATAAAATTAATAAACAGGATCAGAGAGACAGCAGCCAACAGATCATGAGGATATAGAGAAGCAACCATCTATGAATAAATTCCTCCATGCTAAATCATGGTTTGTTTACTGAATAAGTCATGTGAAGCCATATGTCATGGTTCACAAATGAAAATACTAGGTCCATATAATATGCTATGCCATCAAGTTTCTTGGACAAAACTGAATTGATGTGCACCACAGAGTGCAATGGATCTCAGTCCTATTTCATACTAGCTAAAGACACCATTTTCTGGCCCAGATAAACCATCTGTTCACAACACTGTTCCTTTCATCTCTGCTTTTGCTTCAAGGTTCTTGACTTTCATTCAAGTCAGGTCCAGCCTGTCACCTGCTGTGCTGGGGTTACAGCTCACAGTATTCCCTACCAGGTTGGAGGATGCTAAGCAGGGCAGATTGATTCAGGCTGTTTTGACTCCAGCAACTCTTAGTCGATGTAACAGAAATGAAGGTGATAAATATCCCTGGGTGTCATTTCCTCTATGGTTTGGCAATGAAATGCTCAGGCAGGACTGGGACCAAGGTAGTTGCTTATTTTCTCTCCCATCTTTGCAGGCCAGCTAAGCATTATTGGATGGCCATATTGTGGCCAGGTTTCTTGGGCTCCCTTTTCATTTGAAGGATTGGTCTCAGGTGTTTGCTTTCTCTTATGGAAACCCACCGCTTGCCTTCCTGCATTCTGCCACATTATACAACCCGCTTATTTTTCCTTATTATTCTCTATTGCACAGGTGTCAAACTCACCGTGTCATGTGATGTGTCATGATGTATCGTGCCTTTTTTAGCATTGCCGAGCTGGGGTGGGCGAGGCCTCCATATGATGCAGCTGGCCCGCAGGCTAGCAGTTTGACACCCCTGCTCTATTGTGAAACTTCATTTGAAATATCATTGCATTGATTTGCCTTATCCATGAAAACTCTTGGTATTTTTGAGGAACAGTGCTGAGCTGAAAGACAAGCTGGCACCATCTTCCAGCCAGACTGGCAACCAAACCTTATTTCAGTCCTGGCAATTTTGTTCTATAAAATCTGAAAATGGCAGGACAGATTAAGGCATACACCGTTCTTTTTTCTGATACCTTCCAGTTATTGCCTGTTCTTTACCATTTGCTATCTCAGGCAGGTTCCACACTCTGCCTAACAGTAGGACCGACTCTAATTCAATACATGTGCCTTCTTAAAAATTCATCTAGTTGCCCTTGCTTTTGACACGGAGAAAGTGACCTAGGAAGGCCTGCTGACTTAGATGGACTTACGTTTAAAGAGGGAGAAAGATTTGCTATCTTCTACTTCTATCGTATATTCCTTCTCCGAAAGTGAGAGTCCCACCACTTTCTTGGCAATCATGTAGGGCAGGGGTGTCAAACTGCCGGCCCACGGGCTGGACGCGTCACGTGGAAGCCGCGCCTACCCCATTGCCAGCAATGGCAAAACCGTCCCGATACATTGTGTGACATCACGTGACGTTGCGAGTTTGACATGTCTGATGTAGGGGGCTGGCAATCCTATGTTGTAAGCATGGCCCTAAAGAGTCCATTGAGATGGCCGCAGTTGTTTATTTTCTTGTTTTTTCTAATCATACTATAGATGTTTTAATGCTGGGCAGTTATGTAAACTGCCAATTGGGAGGTTGTAGTAGGGAAAGAAATAAAACAACAAACCATGTAGTATATCTGCCTAAAGATTTTCTCCAAGCAAAGCATATGAAGCAGCTGGCTAATTTGGCAACTGTTCT